GTTGGGTGCTCTTCCTGCTTCATCCAAAGGATCCCATCTCCTCGTTGTGTTTTACTGTTTGGGGGGGTACATTTGCTGGATTACACGAAGGCCCGTCTTCGACGGGCCATGGCACAAACGGCCAGCTCCCATTCGGGAAATCGAGTCGCACAAAGAATTCAAAGACGCTGGGAGCAACTTGTCACTCCGTTAAAGCGTAATTAAAGCGGCTTCAAAGGCCCCAAGCCACATCGGAAGCCGTGAGGCAAGGAATCTTAGGAGGCCCAAAAAGGAGCGCAACGCGCTCCCCCTCCCCTCTAAGGGGAGGGGCCTCAGTAAGAGCTCCCTCACCTCTCGCTGTTCTGGCTCTTGCGGCGCGATCCCGCCGAGGCTGCTGCCTTCTCGGCCTTCTCTTTATCGAGCTCGACGCTCTGCAAGACCTTCTCCAGGCCAGACTCGAAGCGGCTCATGTTCTCGGTGACCGCGCTGGTCCACTCGCCGACCTTCTCCTGCAGAGACGCGGCGGAGGCGGACTGCGCGTCCTTGAGCATGCCCAGCTCCCCGCGCAGGAGCTCACCGAGCTGCCTGAGATTGGGCTTATAAAGAACATATCGGGCTCTGCCAGTGCAAAGCCGTGCTTCGTGCTGCAGGCTCGTAGCAAGTTTCTTTCTGCACACCAGGCCGTTTTTGTCTTGTTTCTGCTTGTGTTGGCCGCCCTAAAACCCTCAACCCTAAACCCTTGCAGGAAACAAACCCCATGAGCCCACGTCTAAATTCCCCCTCACCCAAGCCTGAGGCTATACCGTTTAGGCTTTAGGGTTTAGGGTCTTGGGTTAAGGCCTAGGACTCGGAAAGATCCAACAATGTCATCCTGAAATGGTCCTCCCATTTCGGTTGGCACTGGCTCGTGTCAACGCAGGATCACCAAAGGTGTATGGACAAGACTACTTCGAGGAAAAGTCTTATGTCTGTCCATCTGAACTTAGTTTTGGTAGCAAGCTTTGCGCTAGGATTTGCCCAGGTGTAGATCCAGGCTGTGTCTGCAATGGTGGCTTGTGCACCCTCAATTCGTTCTTCTGGTACTATCTGCCGCAAAAAAAAATAATGATCAGAGTTCTTTTACCTCATAACATCGCAATGGGGTTTTGCTAAACCCTAAACCCTAAACCCTAAACCCTAAACCCTAAGCCCTAAGCCCTAAGCCCTAAACCCACAGGGGATCTTGCCAAATCTTGCCCTGAGCCGCGCTTGGCAGTCCTGGCCACTGTCGCGCTGCTGCGAGGCAAGCGCCAGAACCACGGCCTCCAACTCCCGTCCTAGGATGGCCCTTAAAACGGTTAGGGTTTAGGGTTTAGGGTTTAGGGTTTAGGGTTTAGGGTTTAGGGTTCAGGTGTGAAAAATATTCCTAAATCGGATCCTCTTAAACCCAACAAAGGGGAAGCATAAAATATCCCAAGGGCCTAGCTAGTGTCTTATGGCCTCCTCCACATCCACAGCTGCTGGGGCGTTGGCCTGGCAAAGCTCCAGGCGCTCAGCGCTGGCCTCGAGGCGGTTGGTGAGGCCTGACACCAAGTCCTTCAGGTTCAAGGCGTCACTCCCTGTGTCCTCACCCAGCAAGGCCTCTTTCAGCTTGCCCATCTGACGCACCAACACCTCTCGCATGGAGGTCTCCAGCTGAGCAGCAGGGTCCCGCATGAGCTCCGCCCTCGTGAAGTTCTGAATGCACTCCAAACCTTAGCTGGTGTTCCCTAAGTTCCTAAGTTCCCCAACACATGAGAGCTTTTCTCTTCTTTCCCCTACTTTCCCTTTCCCACCCGCACCAACTGCCCCCAAGCATGGGAAGCCCCGAAGCTGTTGTGGATTGTCTCCTGCGTTCCGGTCAGGATGTCCATGATCATCATGCTGTGCCTGGTGCAGAGGGCAATACGTGCCACCATGGGGCAGAGAGGCGACGGCTGTTCCGATGCAGGCTCAAGCATCCGGAGTTCTAGCTCAAGTTACCTTTGAAAGAAGCAACACCTGAAAAAATGGCATAAGAACCCCAGGCATCTTCATAACAAAGCATCGGCCCCATGACGCGGACCCTGACAAGGGGGTAGTCATCGTTTTGAAAAATCTGAAAGTGCTCCAGTCGTGAGGTTGGCCGCAGTGCCTTCGGACATCCGAGACCCGCTCTTCCTGGACCGCGGCAGATTGCTTCACCTGCGCGTGGCACTTCTACAACTTGCTCGCTTTGTGCAAGTGTGTGGGGCAGACATCCTTGAGTCCTTTTCTGTCAGGTCCACCACGCGACTCTTCCTTCACATCTTGAAACTTGAGAACCACCCCTAAACCCTAAACCCAAAACCTGGAAAAGCCCTCAGAATCCTTCAAAGACCTGCCTTCTCGATGATGGCAGATCCCTGGTCTGTGAGCGTGCTCATGTCTTCGCGGAGGGAGCTTAGCCTTTGCATTGTTGTTCGGCATGCGTCATCCCAGATCTACTTATTTGGGGGTATACGAGAATAGTGGACCCCCTATCTAGATCCCAAAGAGTAGGATCCCTTAGAATGGGGAGCCCAATAAGGTACCCCTTCATATCTCATTTCGGAGGGCCCCATCCTTATGAGCCAGGCGGCAGCTTCTCAGAGGATGCAGTGCAGCAATTGGTGACTGAGTCCTTGGCTCTGAACTTCTGGGGCTTCAGGCTGTACGACTTTTGGGGGTTTCGCAGGTGGAGGCAGGGCCCCATGCTGAAGCAGATTTCTTTCCGAAGCAGCCCCAGTCCTACATGCCTCAATCCAACCGAAGCGTTCAGCGTCCCACTTCACACAGTCAGATCCTTAGATCCAGAAACGAAGAAGGCTCTTGGACTCTTCAGGCCGTCGCCTCAGCTCAAAAACCATTTAAATGAGAAAGGGGAAGCTTCTAAGCTTCAACACAGGAGTCCTCCAGCTCTGTCATCTTGCGCCTGAGGGTGCCATCAATCTCCAGGAGGTGACGGTTCGTGACTTCGTGACCATCTGCAAACTTCTCCTTTTTTGCTGTGGGCCGTCGCTCTCTCAAGCTGCGGAGGTTTCAAGGGTCTCCAAAGGGGAAATGCAGGGCTCCCCCCCTAAAGAGATTAGAGCCACGCAAGTGAAGCAGCTTCACTTCTTTCGCCATGCTGCGGAGCTTCCGAACCCTAGCCTAAATCTCTGCTGGTCTCAAGCCGGGTCTATCCACAATGCGCCGGAGCTGCAGCCATCGAGGTCTGCGTCGTCGCAACACCCTGCAAAAGCACATGGGACTCCTTGGATTCCATGCGCTTGGAGACAAGCAAAAAGATGGAACACGGCCCTCGTGTAACAGATTGCGCTCTGCGTAATAAACAAAAAGGCAGTATCATGCAATGCATCTAACCGCATGAAACAGCTACAACCATGCAATGAGTTTTTTGTCACTATAAAGATTATACTATTTCGGGGTCTATTCAGGGCACTCTTTTTCAAAGTCTCGCGATTAACTCCGAGGCGCATGGGACTGCTTCAGGAGGTCCTGCTGCGTGGCGTCCAGCTTCTGCAACCTTGAGAGGTGCAAAGGGCGTGCACGCGCTCTCAGCCCCACAGAAGAAACCTGTGCTAACTTTGAGGCACCTAAACCTTCAAGCCTGAAAGCCCGAAATCCTAAAACCCTAAACCCTCCCCTAGCCTACCTTTTCAGGATGCTCAACCCCCCCAGAAGCACCCCCCAGAAGCCCAGTGAGAGCAGGTCCAGCGCCAGCAAAAGGGGCGACTATTGGGAGCGGGTGGTTCTGTGGGGAGGCGCTATCAGCATCAGCCGGAGGCTGGTGTTGTGAGCATGCGCAGTTAGAATGGGTACTCAGGGCACTTACAGATGATTACAAAGGGTGATTTGATACTTCATTTAAGCCCTCCTGTGTTTGCAAAGGTTGTGCTCACACAGTTTTCCTGTGGGTTTAGGGTTCAGGGTTTGCCCCCGAGAGGCAATACGTTGGAGGACGTGTTGACGGTGTCCACCAAGGCCTGCTTGGTGCTGTCCTGCACAACATTTAGTTGAAGCTCTCCCAGTCACCGGAGCTGCCAGGTAAACCTCGACTATCGTCGGGGTTCCTATTGTAACACGGAGGCCTTGTATGTAGCGCACACCAATCATCCCTAACCTTTGCAGTCCTGCACGCCTGTGATGAAGCCGTGCAGGCTGGCGTACGAAGTCGAGAGCTGATCCTAACTTGCTTCTCAGCATGTCTCACGTCTGCGAGGTCTGTGAAGGGTAAGACTTCAGTTGAGGTGGGAGGCATGGGGTTACTATGAGGCCGCATCCGACCAAACAGAGGACAGCGGGAGCATGCCTGTGCTTAAACCCCAACGAACGCCTTGAAGAATGGAAGGATTTGCAAAGCTCGGCGTGTTGCGGTAAGCGCAACATTAAGCTGCAGGTCTTGGAGGTCCTAAGGGACAACGTTTTGCTGACACCCAGGAACCCTCTCTTAGTAAAAGGGCGCCCCCTTTGTGTGGCTTAGTTGGGTACGCATGCTGGGGTTCTAGGTAAAGCCGAGCCACCATGCTTGCCTTTTGCGCATCCACCTTCCTCAACATGGGGAGGCTTTCAAGGGGCAAGTTCCGGTGTTTCAGGTGGTTCAGAGTTCAGGGCCTGAAGTTTAGGCATGCTTAGGGCTCCGGGTATTCGCTTTTTTCTATCTTCATATTGTTTGTGTGTCTTTTTGTGGTGTTGAAGGGTCTTTTCAGTGCCGTGACGTGCCGCTCATGTTGTATGGCAGTGACCCATTCCCAGATGGTCCGGCAGCCACATTCAAGCGCACCCTTTCTTCTACTCTTGGCTTAAGAACGAAGCCTGCCCCAAGAAACATAACAAGAAAACAATCCCTGTATTACCCTTACAAGGAAGAGTCTTTCACCTTTTTTTTTGGGGGGGGGGAGTTCTTGTACGCACATGGTCGTTCTGGTCTTGGTTGTAGACAGGAACTCCCGAACCCGACCTCCAGATCCGAAGTCCTCCCTCCCTTTCTTCGCGCCCGGGCGGCTGGAGCATGGCCTCCTGTGCGGAATCCAGCTTGTGCCTCAATGACTCGGGGATGAAGCTTCAGAACTTAGGATCTGGCAATCAGGACAAGCCAAAAATCATAGCAACTTTGCTCAGAGCCGACATTTCTGTAAAGAAGCCTGAACCGTAAAGGGGGGTGTTTTCGGCTTTCAGCGTTGCGCTTGGTCTCAGAGCCATCTCAGAGATCTTGATTCTGCCCCGAGCTCAGCCTTCCTAAGATCCCTGGCTTGGGGTTATTAGGAGCTTAGGGTTTGGGAGTTTAGGGTTTAGGAGTTGAGGCTATAGGAGTTGAGGGTTCCAGGAGTATAGGGTTTAGGAGTTAAGGGTTTGGGGGTTTAGCAGTTTAGGGTGTCCGGGCATATGTCGCAGCTCCGTTGCAACAGCACCTGGCAAGCGTTGACGGTCCTCGGCAGAGAGTTAGGATCCAGGGCCCACCCAAGATGGGGCTGAGGAGCTTGGGCTCACAAGGGTTTAGGGTTGAGGGTTTAGGATTTAGGGGTTAGGGTTTAGGGTTTCGGGTTTAGGGTCTCAACTGGAGCTGCTGCGCTATGAGGTCTGAAGTACATCATGGGGGTTTCCTTTCTTGCGGCGACTGAAACTTACTTCCGAACAAACTGCAAGCCAGAAGGTTTGCGCAGCAGAAGAGAAAAAATTCTCAGCTCAAGACGTACCAGTTCTTAGTAGGGCATTCTGTTAAGACTTTGGTTCCATGGCTTATTATATTTAGAGGCCTAAGCCCTAAACCCTAAACCCTAAACCCTAAACCCTAAACCCTAAACCCCAAAACCCTAAACCCTAGTAAGAAGAAGGGCCCTTCGTGCCAGCCAAGGCTCTGCAGCATGGTGACCTGGGAGCAGGTTGCCGCGCAAGAGCGCTGAGGGGCCCCAAGACGATGTGCTTTTGGCAGGTTCCCCCTAATTGTGGCGGTCGCATTTTTTTTTTTTTGGGGGGGGGGGGGGTTTGTAGGGTTCAGGGTTTAGGGTTTAGGGTTAGGGTTTGGGGTTTGGGGTTTGGGGCTTGGGGTTTGGGGTTCAGGATTTAAAGGGACCGCACAAGGGGACCACAAGTGAGCTCCCCTCCCGCGAGACGGCGAACTACCGCGCTACTCGAGAAGTGGCCTGGGAGAAGTCCATCCTCTGGGAGACCGCCTCCTGGCTGTTCTCCAGCTTCCTGGCCCAAAGAAAGGCGCGAACATGGCTCTCTGTTCTGCCAAAGGAACATATGGCTCCCCAAGAGCTTCTCCCCTGTAGCAACCCTTGAGAGCACCCAAAGCCGGGGGCAGGGCGGGCTTGGCTCAGAAGACCTCCGATGCTCAAAGTTGCTCAAAGCCCCAAGCCTCTGAAGCGGCCCTGCTCGTTCATTTGTTCTTTCCTAAACCCCAAGATCCCCCCAAGGGCTGGCCTGGCCAGATCTTCCTTCGCGGCTGTGAGCTGGGAGATCATCTCCTGAGGTGTTGGGGCACTTCTTTTGGTGCTTTGGGTGAGCACTTCAATGCATTTGTTTTTCGGGCTGAGGGCTCAGGCATGAGGAGATTTCTGCAACATTCAATGGGGACGTCAAAGGGTGCAGCTTGTATCGTCTACATCGTGGCTTTGAGTTCGCGCACCTCGTGCAGTGGGTAGATGGCACGGTATGCGGCCGCCGTGATCTGCTCATCGAAGGCACCTCACACTTCGAGTTTCATACAGATCCGCTTGAGGGTTTAGGGTTTAAGGTTGGGGTTTAGGGTTTACGTGCACGGGTCATGCAGTTCATGGCAGGGGTCACGAAGTCCTAGCCCAATCCCTGCTCTACTTGTGGAGCCAAGCACCGAGGTCAAGCATCGGCCGTGCCGAATGGGAGTTCACAGGAGTGCCCGCGTTGCTGCCCACCTGGCTTGGCGCTGTGCAGACATCTTGATGTTCCTGCGGTTTGCGGTTCTCCAGGAGCTGTCGAAGGCTCACGACGCCGTGCAGGGTGTTGGCGTGGGGGGGTTCGGTATGCGCGTTCCTATTTTCAGGGTGGCGTGATTTTGGGGGGAGCATGAGGGTTACCCTTTACGTTGGACAACCAAACCCAAAAAAAAGGCCCACATGCGAAACCCTAAACCCTAAAACCCAAAAACCCGGAAAACCCTAAGACAATCCTTGGAGACTTCGCCCCCGCCTGCCCGGGCAACTTGGTCGAAAGGCGCTCCCGGTTGGCTTCCAGGATCTTCAGGAAGGGGTCCTGGAAAAACAGGGGTTTAGGGTTTAGGGTGTAGCACCGGTCAGCTGGACGCGATAGTTTGAAGACATGCCCACCCCAAGGCCACCCAATCACAACTCACGGCAAAACCAAGCCGGAGCCAGCCAAAACCAGCCAGCCATTCAACATTTTTCTGCGTCGGATTAGCTACATGGCGAAAGTGTGGTTATGAAATGAGGCCTTATGAAAAACATGCCCAGAAGCTTGTGTTCAGGACATGTAAAGAAACTGCAGCCAAAAAAAATTAGGTTTTGCGTTGGGGGAGTCTTCGGCCGGAGGGCCTTCTCATTGTTTTCTTTTTTCTCTATGTCGGATTGTCGAGCGGGTTTTTTCGAAGCTTTGCGCAACATAGTCAGAAGTTTCCGAGTTAAAGGCTCAGAAATGGTCTGGGAGAAGCCCAAAGAAACTCAGAAATGGTCTGGGGGCAGCCCAGAATCCCAGAAATCCCAAAAAAGTTGGTCTGGGAGAAGCCCAAATAAGCTCAGAAATTGGGGGGGGGGCAGCCCGAAGCTCAGAAATGGTCATTGAAGCCCAGAAAAATTCTGAAATGGTCTGGGAAAAGCCCAGAAGCCCAAAAAGGCTCCAAGAAACTGTCCGGGAGGAGCTCTAAAAGGTGCAGAAAAAGGCTCAGAAACTATCCTGGAGGAGCTCAAAAAAAGGTGCAGAAACTGTCCGGGAGGAACCCCAAAAGGCTCAGAAACTGTGCGGGAGAAGCCCAAAAGGCTCAGAAACTGTCCGGGAGGAACCCCAGAAGACTCAGAAACTGCGGGAGAAGCCCAAAAAGGCTCAGAAACTGTCCGGAAGCCCAAAAAGGCTCAGAAACTGTCCGGGAGGAGCCCAAAAAATGCTCAGAGACTGTCCGGGAGGAGCCCACAAAGCCCAAAAAGGCTCAGAAATTGTCCGGCGGGAGGAGCCCATAAAGGCTCCAAGAAACTGTCCGGGAGAACCCAAAAAGGCTCAGAAACTGTCCGGGAGGAGCCCAAAAAGGCTCCAAAAAGGCAACTGTCCGGGAGGCCAAAAAGGCTCAGGAACTGTCCGGGAGGAGCCCAAAAAGGCTCCAAAAAGGCAACTGTCCGGGAGGCCAAAAAGGCTCAGGAACTGTCCGGGAGGAGCCCAAAAAGGCTCCAAAAAGGCAACTGTCCGGGAGGCCAAAAAGGCTCAGGAACTGTCCGGGAGGAGCCCAAAAAGGCTCCAAAAAGGCAACTGTCCGGGAGAAGCCCAAAAAGGCTCAGAAACTGTCCGGGAGGAGCCCAAAAGGCTCAGAAACTGTCTGGGAGGAGCCCAAAAAGGCTCAGAAACTGTCCGGGAGGAACCCAAAAAGGCTCAGAAACTGTCCGGGAGGAGCCCAAAAAGGCTCAGAAACTGTCGAGCCCAAAAAGGCTCAGAAACTGTGCGGGAGGAGCCGAAAAAGGCTCAGAAACTGTCCGGGAGGAGCGCAAAAAGGCTGAGGAGCCCAAAATGGCTCTGAAACTGTCCGGGAGGAGCCCAAAAAGGCTCAGAAACTGTCCGGGAGGAGCCCAAAAAGGCTCAGAAACCAGGGCCGAAAGGGGAAGGACACCCCCCCCGCCTTGCGAGAGCAAAAGTGTGGGGATATATCTGTGACAATGCTAGGCGACTCTAGCTAGGCGACCCTCTCAGGGGTGTGCCTGGCAGGCTCTGCAGCCCAGCAGAGCCTGCCGTGGTCTCGCTGAGCGCTCGACTCGGGTTTAGGGTTTAGGGTCACTTCCAGGTTTGGGGTTTTCTCGGAGTTTTGGCCTTGAGAAGAAGTTCCGGGTCTAGTCCGGGAGGCCGCTGATTACACTTTGGCTGGTAGCATGTCCTCCTTCTCCACGATGCCTCCCTGATCCTGGCCCATGTTCCTTGGCTTAGCTATGGGTCAGTAACTGCTTGACGTGTAGAGCCCGACCCTTCGAAGCTACCGCGCTCTTGCTTGGGCTCTGCGGTGGCCCTTTCACCCTCCGAGAATTGTTGTGAAACAAGATCCTCTCGAACCCAACAAGGGGCTTTTGTTTCACAGCAACCCGACACCACCCCTAAACTCGGCTTAAGGGGCATCTTCTCCGAGATCCAGCGCTTCTGGATGGAAGAGATCAGTGCCCACGGCAGGTTCAAGTCCATACATCGGTCCTGCATCGGAGACTGTTTTGGTACTCTGAACTTTATACCCTCTGGCGGACAATTTGTAAAGAAGAGCTCCCCTAAACCCAATTTTCAAACAAGGGAGACATGCCAAATATCTCAGGAGGAGACTTGAGGGGCGGGGGTAGGAGGGACTCAAGGGAAACGGAGTTGAGGTGGGGGGGGAGGGGCAGGGGGTCTGGACGCTGACTGCAGAATCTACCACTGAAGAGGCAAGGCCAGGAAGTCCTTTGAAGACACGCAGTGCGCCTACTCGTGTGGCAGAGGATCTGAGATTGGGGTTGCCGAAAATAGGGGGTACCTTATTGGGGCCCTGATTATGAGAGAATCCTACTTTTTGGGGACTATACTAGGGGTTCTCTTGTTTTCGTAAACCTCCATTTTTGAGCACCAAACCCCAAACCGTAAACCCTAAACCCTAAATCGAAAGAAGGGCGAAGCTCCTGGTTCAAGCGCTCCAGGACCGCGGTGTTGCTGATGCCGCTGTCGACCAGGAGCTTCATCATGCGGTTGGAGTGCGTGCCCATGTTCATGGTCCTTAAACCCTAAACCCTAGACCCTAAACCCTAAACCCTAAACCCTAATAATGCAGCAGGACACCCACACAAGGCCAAGAGGAGCCCCTTAAACGGTGCAAGAGTAGCCCCCGAAAAAGCGCACACAGCCGCGGCCAGGGGACACCATGGTCTCCGCGACCAGCTCCACGAGCTTCGTCTCGCTGCCTGCTTCCTCAAAGTGGGGCAGAGGGAGGATTAATTCGGGTTTAGGGTTTATGGTTTAGGGTTTAGTGCGGATTCTTGAACTTGACATCTGCTGATGCTTTGCAGACTTGAAAGGCTTCCTGATCTGACCTGACAGGATCGGAAGAGTGCATGTGGATGTCCTCGGTTTCTTCTATCATACGGAGGGTTACTTCCAGGACGCAGCCCAAACGCAAGGCAACGCACAACGCAAGGGATATTCTGCAAGGCCTGAAGCAAAGGCAGTAGGCAAGCCGATGAAAAAGCTCCGGGCCTCACCGTACCCCAGGCCGTAGTCCATTGGGTTGAGACCTCCACGAGGAGACATGGCCTTACCTGGCACCGAGTCGGAAGTTTCGGGGGCTCTTTCCTTCCCGGTTTTCCCTTAGTTTCCTAGTTTTTCCCTGTTCTTCCTGGGGTTCTGAAGGGAGGGAGGGTTCCTTTTTCATGCCCCAGAACGCTCCAAAGGTTCCCCCCACCCCCTTTACGAGAACCGCATCGTCTTCCCTTGAGCCCTCAAACATAGTGCCCTAAACCCTAAACCCTAAACCCTAAACCCTAAACCCTAAACCCTAAACCCTAAACCCTAAACCCTAAACCCTAAACCCTGGGTGGGGGTTTGGGGTCTGGAAGTCCGAGCTCATGGAATGCAGGCCCTAAGCCGAGGCGCAGCATGTCATGTCGTAGTTCCGATACCCTAGAAGCCCGGAAAACCCCCCTCTTTGCCGGCTTTCTTTGTTGCTGGAGTCCACGGCGACTTGAGTCTTTTGGAGGTCCGCACGCAAAAAGATTCAACAGGTTGGTGCCCACCACCCTAAACCCTATAAACCCTATTATTATAAACCCTTAAACCCTTCAAGCCCTTAAAGACCTTAGACCCCCAACTTTAGAGGGTCTTAAGCCTCAGAAAGGAGGAGAATCAGGACACAAACCCTAAACCTTAAGCTCGGCCCTAAACCCTCAACCTGAAAAAATCGGAGCTCGAGCCTGCGACGTCCTGCTGCTGGGAGTATCCCCTCAGGTCGTCCTCTGTGGTCGCATCGCCTGCTTGTCAGTGGGTGAAGGGAAATCGTACTCAATGCGACTGAAAGGAATTTGTGCATTTTGAGATGTGCCACGCGCCTGGTGATAGGCCATAGAGCTCCCGCGCCGCCTCCATCTTGTTCTGGTGCACCTAAGTGGTTCTGCAGCTGCGTGTTTTGCCGTGCGCTTTCTCCGGAGGAGGTTTCGGATTTTTTTCGAGGGCTCCATCTCCCTGATTTTCGAGTCCCTTAGGGGGGCGTCTGTGGGCCAACCCGCCAAGCCCCAGAAAAACGAAGCACCAAGAGGTTGCACACGACTGGCGAAGCAAAAATCGCACAGAGCTCGCGGTATGCTCAGTTGTGTGTGTGTGTGTGTGTGTGTGTGTGTGTGTGTGTTTATGTCTGCTAAGCTTGAGTGAATCAGTGAACCTACTGTAGCCTACTGTGGCGGCCTGCTGCTTTAAACCCCAAGCTTTGAGACTTTCAGGGCAAAGCCCCCAGGCGCCATCTTCATTCGCTGCAGGAGGATGATGAAGGTGAACTTGGAGAGGACGTTCCTGACATGCAAGCGACTAGGGGATAAGATTTCAGTTGATGGTCTGGCAAGAAGAACCTTGGAGGAGTCTTCATGTTTTCGTTCACGCACGGACCATAACTCGCATAAGCTTCGTGCGTCGCTACCGTCTTGCAAACAGAGCATGCCCGTATAAGGAACAAAAAGCTGACACGCGAGCCTGGAGGCTTTGTTCGTGAGATTGATATTTGCTCAAGGCCGCGTGCGAAATATACCAAAATGCCGAACAAGCCCCCTTGGAATTGCAATCAGCTTCGTTCTCCGTTTTTTGGTCGTTTTCGCTTCGGCCCCAATATCGCTACGCAGAAGGAGCGGAGGCAGAGAGCCATGAAATGAAACCAACTGAACAGCTCTTTTTCTGCAACACAAACAGAGGCCGCAAGAAAACTCTGACCCTGTGGCTCTCTGCATCGTCTCGGTCCCTGAACCCGAAACCCTAAGCCCTAAACCCTACCAGGGCCTATGAAGGTCGGCCAGGTGTCAGAATGACCCAGCCCATTTCGATCACAAAGGGATCCGTGATGAGGCCGAAGCCCTCGACAGACATTGTGAACCTGCCGACGAGCTATTCTGGAATAAACCCAAGAAGGGGGAGGGGAGGAGGGATTAGGGTTCAGGGCAAAAAGGTGCTGCGAGGCGGGGGGCAAGTGCTGAGAGCCAGCATTTGCTTTGTGGGTTAACAAGCTGGAGTCTTCCGAAGCCCGACTTTCAGATCACACTCTCTGAAACGTACTCCCAAACCTGAGCTTCCATTCAACCCAAGGGGAGAAACCGACGACGCCCCAAGGGCATTCCTAGAATTTTCCTTTTGGGTTCCCCAGTTCCCATCCCGAAACATCTCCCAAGCCGAGATGCCAGAGTGGGAAGGGGAACCTTAGATGTTCTTGGAACGCCCTTACCTTTTTTTTGAGCTCTTGTTAGGGGGACTATTAGAGCCAAGGCAGAAAAGCAGATCTTCAGCACTCATGGGTGAATGCACTCAACAACATGTGCTAAAGGCGGCTGAGGGGCCAGGTCCAGATCAGGAGGAGCGACAGCTTGCGAAAGTCCGAGTCGCCGTTAAAGAGGTTTTCCTCGTCCCAACAGCTCCTAAACCCAACCCATTTGACACCGCCGTTTGCTTGCTGAATCCTCTGAACAATGAATCCTCCACAGGGCCGGGCCTGAAAAAATGTTCTCTCTCTCTTGGCCAGCAGGGTTACATCCGATTTTTCAGGCTTCGAGGGCCCTACACCCTCAAACCGCCTACATCTCGGTTGTTGGGGCTGCAGGTGAAGTGAGTGTTGTGAGTGTGTGGACCCTCAACCCCTTCGAACTCGTGAGTGCTCCCCGCCTCTCCCTCGCTGTTCTCGGAGATCTGCAGGATGTTGTGGTAGAACATGATGACTGCGGTCGGGGCGATACAGCAGAGAGGGCAGAGGCTCCGGAAATTTTACGTAAAGCTTTTATGAACTGCCCTCCTTTGGGCTCCCACCCTCCCCCCCCCCCCCCCCCCCCCCCCCACAAACAAAAAAAAAAAATTAAAAAAGAGGATCCCCAATACTTACTTGGAAAGAGGATCCCGAATAATTACTTGGGGAGGCTACATTGAGCCACAAAAGCTGGGCTCCGCCGGGGCACAGGCGAAGCACAGGCCAAAGCCGTACCAGGCGAAGCGCAGCGCGTCTCCGGTGAACATGGACCTGCTGTTGGCTTCTTGACATGGCAGGCAAGACTAGTAATTGCTTAAGAATCCCCCAAAAAACAAAAATATTCTTCATTATAAGAGTAGTATAGGGATTATTATGTTGTGTTTTTTTGGGGTTCTTAAGCAAATAGTAGAAGATAGTTCTGACAGCAAGGAGTCCCTAGAATTTCCTAAAGGGTCAGGTTACCACAGTCAGCACATGAACTTGTTTTCTCTTAACAGCCTGAGGACGCTCGAGGAAGCTGTCTTTTGCCTTGCATACTTGCTTCTGGGAGAAGCTTGTGCTTATAATTATACCGTTCTTAAGGGAGGAGGGTTCAGGCGGGGTATGTAACCCAATCTTCCCTAATACTACTCCCTAAGGCTCCCTAAAGTTCCCCAGGTACCTGCCCCCCTTGAATCTCCCCCTCCTTCAGAACCAACATGAGGGCACCGAAAGAAGGTAGCCAAATCCCAAAAGCTCAGCCCAGGGACGCTGTTCCAGAGAGCAGCACTGCCACCTCAGCATGGAACCCGCCCGCCCGAACAACCAAAAACCTAAAGAGCCAATAAAACCGCCACTCCAAACCCGCGAGAACCCAAGGCTTCGCTGAAGCACCGCAGCCCCCAGACATCGTATAACACGCGCCTTAACAAAACGCGGCGTGGCCCTGTATGGGGGTTTCCGACACTAGGGGTACCTTTTTGGGGGGAATCCTACTGTTTGGGGGACTATATTCGGGGCCCCTTACTTTCGTTAACCTCCCTAAACCCTCAACCCTGTCGTAAACCTCCATGTGAAGTGCCAGCCCAAAGGGCGGAGAGCAGCGGCATCATGAAGCGCCGATAGGCGGGGACCCGGGCCCCGGCGAGGACCACGAGCTTCAGCTGCATGATGGGGCAGGTGGCCAGCCACCTTCGGCTTTAGGGGTTTAGGGCTTAGGGTTTAGGGTTGTCTGTCTCTATCTCTCTCTCTC